GATGGGACTTTGGATCTCTTGCCTTCCCTTTTGCACAACAGATTCCATTGAAAAATGGTTTTATACTTCTGGGATCCATTAATGGGCCATTTTCCCCACTATCTGCTCAGAGAAATTTGGGCTAGATTTCACTGCAGAACAATTATAAGTGTTGATTTCCTCAGGGTATCAAACCTTATTTGTTTCCAATTTTTGGGAAGATACCAGAAAGGACAATTTGAGGGGTCTGAAACCACCCATCCCCTGAGTTGAGATGAGAATCTATCTCCATTCTTAGCCTGTTGGTTTATGGCCTGGCACTTCCTGGTCTCATGTGAGTATCTGCATCTTTCGCTGTGGTAGGTGGGCTCTTTTTGGTGCAATTCCATTGGCTCTTGCTGAATGGGTCAATTGTTGGCATGCACTGATTGGCTCTATTGGCTACTGCTTTGTTTCATTTCCTGATTTCTCCCAATGCTCTCCTCCCCATCTTCTCTTTGTTCTCTCTGGCCCTAATAGTCCAGGTGACATCTGAAGAAGTGGGTCTGGAATTCATGAAGGACTCCAACACTGGAGAGACAATGAGGTTAATCTACTAAATTAGAGGAAATGAAGGAAACTGCAAGAGGAAAGATATGAGAGTGAAGAGCTTAAACAGAGATCAGGACAAAAACATGAGCAGTGGCATCCATCACACCTCAGGCCAGAAGGTAAACAATAGACCTGGATAGTATAACTCCGAGGAAGAGATTTGTACACATCACCCCACATGGAGCAGATATTAAATGGAACGAGAACGTGCCTCTGGATGTGAAGTTGTTTCAATGATGGGAGCGCCAGTGCAAAGGCAGCGCGGGAATGGTGAGGAGATAAGTCTTAGCAAGCAAATTGTAACTTTTGAGAATGCTGAAGGACACAGGACTTTAAATGGGCCTAAAAAATAGACCTTTGGAAGCAGGAGTAGCATCCATTTCCTAAACAACATGCCTCCAGAAACTCTACGAACCCTGATAAGTGTTGAAGGTTGTAGAGGGGCTTTAGGCCTTTTGTTCATGGGGTTACTATGAGTCATACTTGACTCAAAGGCAATCAACAACAACAACAACAACAACAAAGAGTAGACCAGATCTGTATGTGTCTCCTTCTGCAAGAGGACACGGTAGTAGAGGATTCTGCAATGTACCTTGAAACAGAGCTCACAAAGGCAAATTTATAATACAGTGGAACTCCCAAGATGACAGAACTTGGCTGAGCACATGGCTGTAGACACTGTATCAATCTATCTCACTGACGGTCTTCCTCTCTGCATGTGACCTCCTTTACCAATCATAATGTGCCTCTCTGCAGACTGGTTCCTTCTGATAATCTGTCCCAAGTACATAAGGCAAAGTGTTACCATACTTACTTTAAAGAAGCATTGTGGTTCAACTACTTCCCAGACAGATTTACTTGTTCTCTCTTGTAGTCTATGGTATATGAGAGAGCTCTGAGGGTCTGGTGGATAGAAAGTTATGCTACCAAGCCAAAGGTGGGTGGTTTAAATCTGCGGCCATCGGACCAGGTTTTAATTGTTTTTGGTCAAGTATTCTTCTAAGTGGTATAGCGCTGGTCTGTCCATTTGCAGTACAGAGGTACCTCATGGTTGTTATTATGCTAAACACTGTGACACTGATGTGTCAAATGTGATAATGGTCACCCATGGTGGACAGTGTGTGGTGGAGCTCCCCAACTAAACAAGCTTGGAAGCAGGAGTGGCATCCACTTCTGAAAGAGCTTGCCTCTGAAAACTCTATGAACTTTGAGAAATGATGAAAGTTATATAATTGTTCAGGTATTTTGTTCATAGGGTCGCTATGAGTGGGTCGTCTATGACTCGACAACACTTAATAACAACAATATGGTATATTTTATAATTTTTACCGGCAAAACAATTCAGAAGATCCATTTTTCTTCAGTCTTCTTATTCATAGTCCAGATTTCACTTGTATATGAGATGACTGAAAATACCAGGCTTGGCTCAGGTACACCTTAATTCTCACAGTGGAATCTTGGCACTAACACTTCTTTGTTCCAAATAAGGAGAGATGAATAGGTACATCTTAGATGGTCACGTGCAACCTCCTAAGATCCAAGTTGTTTTTCACCAAAGTAGGATGTAGTACATTTTCTCTGTAGATAATATTATGCCAGTTGACCTTGATGTCTCCCAAAACTATGGTTCTAAGGCCCTAGAATGAGAAACTAAGTGCCAAGGAGCTGAAACTGACTCATAGCTCTGACAATCTCTCCAGTGGATTTTCAGAGGTTAGAAATTACATGGGAAGAGATTACCCATCTCCCACGGAGCAGATCTCCCATGGAGTTTAAAACTGCCTTGCTTTAGGGTGGCAACACAACTCCTTACTCACTTGGCCACCAGTGCTCCCAAACTGACAATTTATAACATTTTTGTTTGTTTTTAATTCTGTAATAATTATAGACTCGGAGAAAGTTACACAGGTGTTACAAAGGTTTCTCATACCTTTCTTCTGGTTTCCAACAGTGGTGACATCTTACACAGCTAGCTGTAGCACAGTCACAAAATCAAGACGTGGATTGCTTTACAGTGTGTGTCTAGTTCCGCCCTACTTTATCACAACGTAGATTACTGTAACTCTCACTGCAGTCAAGACTTAGAGCTCCGTCATCACACGCATCTCCATGAAATATACCCACCCTCTGCCCCCACAAACCCTAACCCATAAAGCTATAAACCAACCAAACCCACTGCCAATGAGTTGTTCTGGGTCATGATGACTCCACAGGACAGAACAGAATGGCCCCATAACGCTTCTAAGGCTGTAATCTTTATGGAAAAAAGACTGTCTCATCTTTTTCCTATGGAGTAACTACTGGATTCAAACCACCTACCTTTTGGTCAGCAAACAAGTGTTTTAAACATTGCGCCATAAGGGCTTCTTCCTTAACCTGTCATACCCACTACCTGCCCCTCCATGCCCACAAGTAGGGAGGTGTGGTGGCCTAGTGTGTAAGGAGTTGTACTGCTAACCCAAAGACAGGCAGTTCTAATCCACCAGCTGCTCCACAGGTAGAATATGGGCTATTTCCTCTTGAACTATTTCCAGCCTCTGAAAATGCACTGAATGGTCAGCTACCAGTTGGATTCCAACTCAAAAGCAATAAGCTGAACCATCTATAAATAAGGTTGTCATTTCATTCCTACGGTATAAATGGAGTCATACAGTACAAGACCTTTGTGATTAGCTTTGAACTTGAAGTTATGTCCTGAAATTCACCCTACTCACTGCATGTATTTACAGTTCTCTGTTTTATTGCTTAGTAGTCTAAGGTGTGGATGCAGTACATTTTGTGTAACCACTGACCTTTTTAAGACATTTTATCTGTTTCCAATTTGGGGCTATTTCACAGAAAGCTGCTATGAACAACCAACCACAGGCATGTTGTCTTTTTCCAGGGGCTGGCCACTCCTGATACCACGCCCCACATACGTGAGAACAAGTCTCACCAGCCTTGCTTCCGATTATCACTCTAGCTGCTCTTCTTCCAAGAGAGATTTGTTTGTTCTTCTGGCAGGCTATGGTAAAAGAAACCACTCCACCAGAGGTGTCCCTGCTGGCATCTGAAGTACTGGTGGCAGAGCTTTCAGCATCACAGCAAAACGGAAGCCAGTCACGGTGACACACTGTTAGAAAACTGGCTGGAATTGTATACCAGACAATGCTTAACTCTGTGTTACTTGTCTACTCTCTAATAAAACGAAACACCACTGCAATTTGGTGTAGGGCACACTGGCAGCACATGCACGTGCAAGACTGAGGGGGGAAACAGTCCAGGATGAAACATGGTGAAGCATAGCAACCTCACAGGAAAGAGTAGACATGCCCCTCAGAATAGCCAATATGGATATTGGCAAATGCAGTATATGACCACACACCGCTTCTGCAAATATGTCTCCTCCTACGTATTTCTCCCAATGTCATCAAATTGATCCTGGCACATTGTTGTTGTTGTTGTGTGTTTCTGAGTCAATTCTGACTCATAGTAACCATGCATGGCAGAGCAGATCTGTCCAAAAGGGTTTCAAAGATTACAATCACCAGAGAAGGAAGAGGAAGTTCTGGTGGAGTAGTCACTAGGGAGTTGCACCTCTAATCTAAATTGTGTCTCTCTAGTGGTTCAAATCCACCAATGGCTCCAAAGGGGGTGGGGTGGGGGGTGAAGAACTCCTCTCGTGCAATGTAGAGCCTCTGAAAGCCAACAAGAGTCAGTGGTGAGTCGTTCCAACTCTATGGCAATGGAAGTGACTCTTCACAGGAGAAGACTGTCGAGTCACTTTCCTCCTGGGCAGCTGGTGGGTCCACACTGCTGCCCTCACGACTGTGTGTGTGACAACTGCATGGCCAGGCTCCTCTCCAATCATGGCAACCCCACCAATTAGAAACCAGGCTGCGCTGTGTGGCTTTCTTGGCTGTCATCTTCATGGAAACAAATCTCCACACATGTCTTTTGCGATACCACTGGGTAGCTCTGAACCACTCTCTTCTGGGTCAATGTGGTTGTTAGTTGCCATTGAAGTACCTGTGACTCATAGTGGCCCTATGCACAAAAGATCTGAACTCAGCGCTGTCTTGGGCCAAATTCACTGACTCCAACCCTAACCCTAATCAACTCACATCACCCCAGCTACTGTGTCAATCCGCCTCATGCAGGGTCTTCCTCTCCTGTGTGTTATCCCTCCACCCTTCCAAGCAATTGAAAATGTTTGCTCCACCCAGGGGTCTACCTTTCCCCATGACCTCAAAATAAGTTGGCATCTCACTTTCCTTTTTATTATAAGGAGCTGTTTTACTTTCTCCTTTCATTAATCCATTAGCAAATTAAGAGATTTCCTTAGGACCCACTCTTTCCAGAGAGGAAAATCACAAATTACATAATTTCCTTGTAAAATGACTGTTACACTTTGGTTTGAGCTCATTTTCTACTGCTTTGACCCTATGCAGGTACTGATTCCGGGATTGGTCATGGCTTGGCCAAGTACCTGGACGGGCTGGGCTTCACAGTATTTGCGACAGTGCTGAACGAGAATGGATCAGGAGCAGAGGAACTGCGAAGAACGTGCTCCTCGCGGCTCTCCGTGATCCAGATGGATGTCACCAACTCAGAGCAGATACGAGAGGCCCGGAGAAAGGTGGAGGAGAAGGTGCAGGACAGAGGTACGCCTCCAGCTGCGTCTCCCATCCTGTCCATTCCTCTTAGCCTCCAGAATTCCCTCCTCACAGACACCTGCCTCTGTCCTCTCAGTATGATCACCTTGTACTCACTCTGGCCCTGGGCTGAGCCTGAAGACATGTCCACTGAGTGCCTACTCAACACTCAGCTGCCACTGACTTGGTTCTAACTCAGCGTGACCACTGGGTTTCTGGGATGTGAACTGTGTGGGAGCAGACTGCCCATCTGTCTCCCTTGCACTTCCTTGTGGATTCAAACTAACCTTTGTGTTTGCAGCTCCATACATTATACACTGCGTCACCAGGACTCCTTTACTGTTTGCCAGGAACTTGAGCAAATGAAACAAGCAAGCTTTGTCAGAATGTCCATGTTAGTTGATGTAGGCCACACCCCCCAGGAAAATCCCTTTCAACTGATTGGCTGCTCATAGCAGATATGATTACAAGGGTGATTACATCACAACAGATCTCTTCAAAGGGATGACTCCATCCTAACTACCACACCAGGGAGTCAGACAGTCAGGGTGACACGAAACCTTAACCACCATAACAATCAGAGAGCTGAGGGTCGGAATTTCAAGGATCTGCCTGCTGTCCTAAATCTCAAAGAGACTGCTGTGGATCTCAAGCCTGAGCGGTAAGAATGTTTATGCTCTTATTTTGACCAAGGACACAATACGTGGTCCCAGGTAGAATGGATGAGAAAAGTAGAACATCTTTTTTTTTTTTTATAAAAGAAGTTAGACATACTAGAGTGAGACTAGAGGAACCTTCAGCACTGTCACTCTGTGATCCTCTTGGGACTCTGAACAGAAACCACACCTGGAGGTCACCCTGCAGCTAATTGACTGTGGTTGTTGAGGACAGTCAGGTAGGAACTGATCCATAGCTGACCTCCAGCTGGTTTTCAGTAAATACTGCAGGAGGAGGGAAATTGCCAATTCTTCTTTTGTGGAGCAGCTGGTGGATTTGAACCCTGTATCTTTGGGTTAACAATGTAATTCCTGACCACTAAGGTACCAAAGCTTCCTAAAATAACAGATAGGCTTGTACAAAATCCCACCATCATCAATGAATACAACTATGCTACATTTAAAAAACAACAACAAAAACCACAAACCTATACCCACCATGAATGAGTCACTATTTACCCAAAGGTAAAGATGAAAATGTCATGGTGGGAGCGAGTAAATGAGATGAAAGGAAATGTAACAGGCATTAGGGATATGATGGGCAACGTACACAGCGTCACTGAACAAAACAGGATTTGTTCACTGGGAACCTACTTTGCTGTGTGAACTTTCCCCCAAAACACAATAAAATATTAACAAAGAAATACTTTTGCTTTCCAAATGTGCTTGTTGTAAAGCCATTCATCTGTGTCCTTAGGACTGTGGGCCTTGATCAACAATGCAGGGATCCTTGGATTCCCCGCTGAAGGGGAGCTCATGCCCATCACTCACTACAGACGATGCATGGACGTGAACTTCTTTGGCCCCATAGAAATCGCAAAGACATTCCTGCCTCTTCTTCGGAAATCCAAGGGAAGGCTGGTGAACATCAGCAGCCTGGCAGGTAAGTTTGTCTTTTCCAAACAAGAAAGCAGCATGAGTTCATACAGGGCTGGCCCAGGGCTAGTCAAAGAGAACATTCACCACAACCTTCACACAATTGTCCCTTAAAGCCCTGTGACATACACTTCTGGTTCATACACTCATGACACATCCTCACAATGAAATGACCAACACACACTTTCTATATTTTAACAGAAAATTGTGTCAGCGTTACAGGTAAGTTATGTTCAGTTCCCCTGGACTCATCTATCTCCACTGTGCTGCACAGGATGGGCAGACAAGGACATTCTCTTTTATTTGCACCATTATGGCTCCATATGTTTGCAATTACCATGCTGTTGAGACAGGATACATCTTCTATCTGTTTAACAGTCAACAACTTGAGGGGCTGAACAATCTCATTTCCCATAAATTCTATGCACATGATTCACACCTTTTTATCTAAAACAGTCATTTATCAATCTGGGGTTCTGCAATATCTTAGTCTACTTCAAGTCACACTCATTGGGTATAGTCTCTTTTGGAACTAGTGTAGGACTGAGAGGGAAGCCAAGGGGTGAGCTTTTTCTTCTTTTCTAAATCATGCAGCCTTGTCTTCTTTTTAAAATAATGTGGCTAAGTATTATGATTTCTTTTGTTCTAGTTTGTTTTTAATGTGAACAGGAGTTCTACAGCAATATCTCTTGGGAAGTTCTTTGCATTTCCTGGTATTATTACCCAGCTTGCTTATTTTTCTAGCTTTTTTTTTTTTAAATTATACTAAAGCTTT